TTGCGCCAAGGGACATGCACTGAAACCAATGATTCCAAGGATTGTGCAAGTTGAGCGACAGAATCAGACAGATCTGCAGTACGAGCGGCGTTAGCACCGTCTCAGTTGGCAGGGTCAAGGCACTTTCTGACAATCGAGCACATCCCCTTCGATGTATGTACCGGCGTGGCCCGTCACGGTGGGACAACAAGTTTCACATCACGACGCGTCAACAGAGCCACACATCAGAACACCTGACGAAAGACCAACTGTGGCCCAAAGCGCGCGATCTTGTCTCCTCCCATCGTCCCTCTTCGTGGCCTCACACTTCCGACGCGATGCCCGCCAGGACCTTGCCTGTGGTGGATCTGCAGACCGCTGTCCCGCGCATCTTCGACCAAGTTCAAACATCTGCCGCAAATCACCAAAAGAATTTGGTGGCTTTACATAAACTACACTTGGAGGCAGCGAAGAAGACGGAGAATGGAGGCACAAAGCTCACTGGAGAACAGGAGTTTGATCGCGCTTTCCGGGACATGTTGTCGCGCGTGCTACCTATGAAGAAAGGCGTAGCAGCGGCCGACAGAGTTGTCAAATTTGTCGGCGGATACACCAAATTTGTTAACGACCGAGGTACACCCATCCTTGCCAGACTCATACGTCGACTCAATTATTTCACAGCCGCTGAAGACAGAGTGGAAGAGAACGATGAAGTGGACACAGACACCACAGCTTCGAGATTCACTGCGAAACTTCTCCAATTTCTCTTGAAAGGGTTTCAAGCGAAAGACAAGTACGTGCGGTATCGTGTGATCTTCATTGCGGCAGAGATGATCTCGCATCTCGGGGAAATGGAGTACGTGTTGTCTCATTGTCGGCGGTGTTCATCTTTTGAGATATCTGCACCAAAGCGATGAAATTTATGCGGCCTTGCGGGTGGGGTTGTTAGGTTGTTTTTTTTTTCTGATTATGGTTTGAGACTAAAGAGTTATTTCCAGATCGCATTCACGATAGAGAATCCATCATTAGGGTCCAAGTTGTTCTTGCCTTGGCGAAGCTCGCGGGTTCCGACGACCCGCCGGAGGGTGAACAAACCGTCTTACAGGTGCTTTTAGACACCTTATCTTCCGACACCTCTGCGTATGCCCCTCAACTTAGTCAATCTTCTGGATTCTGACCTCGTGTTACACAGGGATGTCCGCCGTGCTGCCTTGGTCAACATCCCAGTGGGTCCAGATAGCCTCCCCGCTCTTCTGGCGCGCTCTCGTGATACCGAAACTGTAATCCGCAAGCTCCTCTATAGCACCGTCCTCGAAGGAGCCGCAACAGACTCCGCAAAGCCTTCCACTTTGACCATAGCTCAACGCGAACTTGTCGTACGCAATGGTTTGGGGGATCGAGAACACACAGTCCGAGCGGCTGCTGCCACCCTGATCGGCACCTGGATTGATGTCATAGGAGACAAAATAAAGCCCGAACAAGAGCTTGCCTCTCGCCTGGGTGATGTCGACATCGCCAAGGACGAGGAGAAGACACCTCTTGGTGCCGAGGAGAAACAGCGGAAGACAATCGAAACGTTCACAACCTTCCTCCGCATGTTCGATCTATTGGGGGGTGGCGATATGATCAGTTGCGAATTAGCTTCAAATGCGTTGAGGAGCATTTTCGACACGAACCCAGATATTTTTGAGGACCTCCATTTTGGAGGCAAGTGCGCTCTGTTCCTCCCCTCCTTTATCATTAACCCATCTGCCGCAGACATGTATTTTGCCAACCTTACAGCGGAAAAAATATTCCTTGCCCGAGTTTTCGTTGATCATTGCGTAGCGGACAAAGGGCGAGGAGAGCAGAAGATGGAGACGGCGGGAATTCCTGTCGTCACCAGCTGTGCATTCCGGATTCAGGATGGATTTAATGCCCTCGCCGAAGACGCTGCCAGACAGTACGATGACCAGGACGAGAAAGAGGAATCTCGACGCGAGAAAGAGTTGATTGTTGGCGAGATGCTGAAACTCGCCGTTAACCTTGACTATGCTGACGAAATCGGAAGGAGAAAGATGTTTTCTCTCGTCCGTGAGTATCTTCCACCTCACTTTGGCTTAGTGACGTACATATTCTTCAGGTGATATGCTGACCCGTCCTGCGCTGCCGTTGGGCCTTGTACCGAGGTGTCTCGACGTCTTGCGCCAACTTTCTCCTAATGAGCGCGAGCTTATCCGCGTCGTCGTGGAGATCGTGCAGGATCTCAGGGAGCCAGGGGACGAGGAAGACGATCTTGGTGCTGCGGACCAGACCCAAGAAACCATAGTAAGGAAATTCACAGTCTTACAGGCCAGGATGCTGAATGCTCGTAGAATCCCGACGGCGACGCGGACACTAGTTTCGACTCTGAAAAAGCGACCAAGAAGCCTGCGAGGGCAAGGGAAGATATGTCTCCAGAGGAACAACAACGTGTAGACTCAATTGATATGCGTTGCTTGTCGCTGTGCGTTGGCATGTTGGAGCGCGTTAATGGCGTATGTTTTATTCATTCCTGCAGTCCGTTACGTTCTAATGGTATATAGACCCTGGATGAAAATTCGATGCTGCAGGGGATTCTCACGGATCTCATCATTCCGTCGGTGAAACGGAAGGAGAATGATCTCAGAGAGCATGGCTTGGCTGCATTGGGTCTATTTTGCCTCATTGCGAAGGTATATATTCGCTCCGGCGTTGTGATAATCATTTATACTTTTCGTTCGGCAGCGCCTGGCGCTGAGTTCATTGCCCCTATTCATATCTCAAGCAAAGGCAGAAGTCCCAGAAGTGCTCAAGATCAAGCTTTTGCACATTATCTTCGATCTGCTCATGGTCCACGAGCAAAGAATCCTCGCACCCGGGAGTGAAGATGTATGCTTTTCCTGCATTCCTTTCGAATTTTCATTTAAAAGAGACGATAAGGCGGAAAACATGACGAAATTCCTTGTTACGGAGCTCGAAACTGAGTCGAACAAGAACGACACGTCGCCGAAAGTCTTGGCAACCCTCAGTACCGGGATCGCGAAACTACTGCTTTCTGCAATGATCACCGATCCAAAGGTATGACTCAAGCTTTATCAGTTCCTCTGACTTTGCTAACAACCTCAAGGCGGTCAAGAGTCTGCTGACGGTGTATTTTTCGCCCTACAACGCGGATAACCAGGAGTTGAAACAATGTTTGGCATTCTTCGCTCCAGTCTACTCTCATTCGTCTGCTATCAATCAACGGGTCATGCGCGATGTGAGTCCACCACGGCACTTAAAGCGGATTCCTCTGATGTGTGACTCATCTTGTAGATCTTTATCGACATATTCCAAAAGTTTTCAAAGCTTCGACAGGATATGGATGATGAGGATGACGTCATCAACCTCTCTCAGGTCGCGAGTATGTGGCTGCACTGGACCGATCCGTCGCAAGTGCTGTGCGTATCCACGTATCTTCATGCACCCCTCTTAATGTTGTTCAGGGATCCCAACGGTCAGCCCGGCCACGCCGGCAAAGCCGGTGATCCTCTTATCCAGTTCGACCTTGCGGATGATATAATCAGGGCGCTTCTAAAGGACAACGACATGCAGAGTATGTGTTCATTCTCCATCGTTATCAACTGTTCCTTATTCCACCCCTTTTGTGCAGAGGACGACAAGAAGATTCTTGTCCAGATGCTCGGAAAGCTATACATTCCCGACGAGGTAGATGTCGACAAGGTCCGGACTCTCAAACTACTCATGCATACCCTGCTCTTGGTAAGTGACCATCGGCGATGCTTTTACTGCAATTGAGGAGAATGACAGCGTCGGCCATTACAAGACGCCACCACGAACACCGCGTTCAAAAAATTCGAAGCATCTATATCAAAGAAGTTTCAGAAAGAACTGGAGGATTTTAACGAAGAAGAGTACCGGAAGCTGGAGGAGCTGAAGGACCTTTTCGAATTTTTGGATGATATCATACCTGAAGAGGAAGATGAGGTAATCAAGACTGACACAAAGAAGAAAGGGAAAAAACGGTTCGCACCTTACCGACTTCTGTTCTCCGAGAGTGACCCTTCTTTCGTCAGGAGATCCGATAGTATCATCAGCATGACGACCGACGGAGACGATGTATCCGTTGCTTCCTCCCGACGGGAAAAATCCAAACCTAAAACCAAGTAACTAATCTGCTTTGGATGGACATACCTTTACTCAGACTGACATCCGACAAGGAGACGACGGCTTTCAACGTCAGATGACGAGGAAAGCGATTTCGACGATGACGACCGTACAGCAAAAGGCACCCCTCCGCCTCCTACCCGTACACTTCCTAAACGTTCTGCGTAAGCACCAGCCAGTTTTATCAACGTGAGCACTGTTCTCATTTTTTCCCCCGACGTCTAGGGCTGCCCGAAAGGAAGTCATCGTGATAAGCTCTGACGACGATGAAGACGAGGATGACGCTACTCCTATAAGAAAAGGCCGATCGCGAGTCGTTAGGTATAACCAGTTATTTCCATGGCATTCCGGACTGTATCCTAATCCCGCAACAGTGGCGGAACACGCAATATCAAGGAAGAGGCAAGGATCGACGCAGATATTGACGATTTACTTGACGAGGAAGCATCTTCTGAGATCCCACACGACTCCATCATGGATGATTCGGACGAGGAGGACGAAGTGAATGATCTACTAGTGGAAGATTGACGTTTTGCCTACTGTACCCTAAATTTTCCTATTATCTATATTCCCATATCCTTACATCATGTACACTGTTCTATGTATTGTATCTCTTTCTCCACTGTTCCTTGAAATCCAATCCTTCATTGTGCCGATACCGACAAAGGCCAGGAGCCACCCGGACCTTGCATCCGATTGATGGGTTCGACTCTCGATGGTTGGCAGAATGGTACATGTGGACTTGGTGCATTTTCGGGAGGCTTTTCAAGAGGCAGGCGCAAGAGGCTTTTCCTTGAGGAGTGGCTTTTTTTTGGACTTGAGACAACTTGAGACAAAAGGGAGGGAAAAATGACTGCGCAAACGGGGAGTCGAACCCCGTGCTAGGCCATCAAACTCCCTCAATGAGTGACATGGGAAGACCCAATGTTACCGATACACCATTTGCGCTTGATACACCTGAGACTTTACTTAGTATGCCTTGTCATGAGTGCAAACTGGGGTCATCTGATGTAAGGCGCAAAATCCGATTGGCCGATGGCCTCGACCTGGATTTCGGCCGAACAATTCCCTGGTTTCTACCAGCTCATGTTTTTCCAGCAACTAGGTCGCTGGGCGCAAACACGGGGCTTTGCTACTGCGGTTGGCACCGGACCTCGCGTCCCTCAGACTGTTATTGAAAAGGTCGTGCAAAAATATGCAGTGGGGCTCCCTGCAGGCAAGGCGGTCAAGGCTGGCGACTATGTTATGATACGTCCGGAGCATGTTATGACCCACGATAACACAGGGCCCGTCATATCCAAGTGGGTTCCGTCTTATTTTCCTGCGAACCCTCCCAAACTACTTTTCTCCAGGTTCAAGTCCATCGGCGCTACTCGCATCCAAAACCCCGTCCAACCAGTATTTACTCTCGACCATGATGTGCAAAACCGGTCCGCCAAGAATCTCTCGAAATACGCATCGATTGAAGAGTTCGCGAGGCAGCACCAGATCGACTTTTATCCCGCCGGCCGAGGAATCGGTCACCAAGTTCTCGTCGAGGAGGGCTACGCGTTCCCGCATACCCTCACTGTTGCAAGCGACAGCCATAGCAACATGTACGGCGGAGTGGGATGTGTGGGGACGCCGATCGTCCGCACAGATGCGGCCGCCCTCTGGGCGACAGGCAAAACTTGGTGGCAGGTTCCACGCATGGTCAAGGTCGAGTTGCGAGGAAAGCTCGCACCGGGTGTCACGGGCAAGGATGTCATTGTCGCGTTGTGTAGCTCCTTCAACAACGACGAGGTCCTTAATGCAGCCCTGGAGTTCACGGGTGAAGGGGTGACGACTCTCAGCATCGATGAGCGGCTGACAATAGCCAACATGACGACGGAGTGGGGTGCCCTCGTCGGCGTGTTCCCTGTCGATGAGACGCTATTTCAATGGTACGATCGCGCCTTGGCCAAACTCGAGCTTCGAACATTTTCTTCGCCTGCTATGGCATCCTTAATTCCTGCCCCACCGGAACATCCCCGTATCAATCGCCGTAGGCTCGATGCTCTCCGGTCTACTAATCTGCAGTCGGATCCTGATGCAGCTTACTCATCACATCTCATATTCGACCTCTCCACCCTTGTTCCCCACGTATCTGGTCCCAACAGCGTGAAAATATCCACTCCGCTTCCTACCCTCGAAGAATCGCGCGTTGCGATTCAGAAAGCTTACCTTGTGAGCTGCACCAACTCACGAGTATCTGATATCGCCGCAGCTGCAGCCGTGATGCGCGGAAACAAGGTTGCGCCTGGCGTTGAATTTTACATTGCGGCAGCCAGTTCCGCCGTCCAGCTCGAGTCTGAAAAGCTCGGCGACTGGGACACCTTGATTCTATCGGGCGCTAAAGTTCTTCCCGCAGGATGCGGTCCTTGTATTGGGCTGGGCACCGGATTGTTGGAAGAGGGTCAAACCGGCATTAGCGCCACAAATCGCAATTACAAAGGACGGATGGGCCATCCGAAAGCATTAGCCTACCTTGCCAGCCCGGCTGTTGTCGCTGCGAGCGCCATTAAAGGGTATATTTGCGGTCCTGCCTCCGTCGACGCTTCTTCTCTCCCGCCGGTAAAGGCGCCGACGTTCTCCATATCCAATGAATCGTCTGCATCCACCATCCCTGCATTCCAGGCGAACGACCCCGTTTTACCCGGCTTCCCTAAAGCGTTCGCGGGGCCGCTCCTCTTTGCACCTCAGGACAACCTCAACACGGATGCCATATACCCCGGTAAATACACATACCAAGACGACATTACGCTCCAGCGACAGGCCGAGGTGGTCATGGAGAACTACGACCCCGCCTTTGCCCCACTCGTCGCCTTCCAGTCACAAAAGCAGCTTCGTGCGAGCGATGACCAAAGCGCGAACGGTGTGATCCTTGTCTCGGGGTACAACTTTGGCACTGGGTCCTCCCGGGAGCAGGCCGCGACGGCGCTGAAAGCGGCGGGGATCCCAGTTGTCATCGCCGGCTCGTTTGGCGATATATTTAAACGGAACGCGATCAACAACGGGCTGGTGTGCCTCGAGTGCCCAGAGCTTGTTGCGGATCTGACCGAAAGCTACGCCAAGGCTGGCGTGCGAGGCGCTGGGGGCTTGCATGGCGAGTTGACCGTCGATCGGGGGCTTGATGTGGTTGTGGACATGGTGGATGGCCGCGTGACGCTCACGTTAAACGGAGGTGTGGCTGGCTTGACGGACAAGATTTACACTGTTAAACCAGTCGGTGCAAGCGTGCAAGAGCTTTGGGTGTGCGGAGGGCTAGAGGGCTTTATCTTGAAGGAGATCCAATCAGCTGAGGCGCAATCATAAACAACGCGCAAAAAAGTATTGAATTGTTTTCATAGTATTTTTCAATGTATCAAATAGGACCCTGCTTTTTTTCTTTGCCTTTCCTAAGAAATCGAAGGCGCAGGACAATGCATTTTGAAGGTACCAAGTTACAGTGGGTAAAACCGTTTACAGGGAGAGATGTAAGTAAATGATGTCATGGTGGTACATATGAGTGTTCGAAGCTGGGGAGCACGAGAGAAATAAATTAAAGAGCGGGGCTCCAGACGCTGCGTTCGGGAACGTGAGCGTCGGGAGGATTGACGGGATCAAACTTTTCGCGTAAAACGGCGAGCTTGGAACGATATTCGTCTACACCGATGTACGCACCGCACATGCGACGTTCTCCGGTAAAGGCTGAGCGGCCGTGCAGAACACGGTGGTTGTCGATGACTGTTGGCACGTAATGGGCTAGGGTAGCTGGACGAGGATATCTATACGCACTGACGGCGGTCCCCGGACCCAATTGGACCCAATATTCCGAGTCCGCGCTGGTGAGGAGTTTGTTCCAGATCCTGATCGCACCGTACCATTCCTCTACTTGGTAAGGGTCCAGATGGTTCATGACGCTTCGGTCGTCGTTGTTCCATCGCACTTGGACGAGCTCACCAGTAACGGCATCGTGACCGAGTACTGGGTATCCTGAGATAGGATAAGGCTGGTAGAGTGCAGATGGCTCCCCAGCTGCATGAGCAGGCACAGGTGTGCGTGCCAGAATGGAGTATGCATCCGGGTGCAGCTCTTTGAGGATGGAGGCAACATAGAAACCGTCAACCAGAAGTGTGGAGCCACCAGTACCATCCGTGTGCGAAAGAAGGTGGAAAAGTTGAAGGCCGCAAGGGTCAGTCTACAAGATACGCTCAATAAATAAACGAAATACGTGATGCAGAGTAGGAAACACACAAAATACGTATTGTCCGTGTGCGCACCCAATGCTAGTGTAGTATACGCGGTGTCGCCTTTTGCGAGGTCGGCTGTAAAGTCCCAGAATTTACCGTCTACAAAAGGGCGAATTAGAACAAGATTTGACGACTGCAGGATAAGCGAACATTGCGTTTCCCTCAGAAATCCAATGCGTTGGGAGAGCTCTTCCGTAGCTTCCGGAGTCGGTGGAACACCAGTTACGAAACACATTCCGAAACGGTCCTGAGATAGATTTAAGTTAGATAGCAAAAAAGAAATTGTTCACAACGCTACGAACCACATGAGACAACCATTTATAAAGCCCACGATCGTCTTCAGCCATGGCTTCCCCGTACGTTACCGTAGGAGGGGATGACTGAATTTTCGAGCTCCATATAATTTTTCTGGAACGCGTAAACGGGTGTCGGGGGAGTATATACGACAGGCTCACTCTGACTGGGTGTCTCTTTGCCGCAGAGGTGGGTCATATGAATTTTTCTGGAGCCATGTCCACGGATAAATGGATACGTGTGGTTGTGATGAGGGCCCTGGGAAAATTTGCTCAATGGTAGGTGGAGACGGCCGACGGAAGCCTGACATACATGAGACTCGGAGGCCCTCTGGTGTTGGCTCAGCTTGGCTGGGTGTGATATCGGGAGGTATCTAGCGGGAACGTCGGTACCACCTAAAGATAAGGAGGTAGTGCCAACCTCAAAGGTGTTGAGCAACCTCTGCTTTGTTTTCTGATGAAAGCACTCGGGACAACGGCAATGATCCCGGAGCCAGATATTGTGACTTATCGAAACATGAGCAGGATGGAAGGGATAAGTAGAAAGACTAGGGTACTCACAAACGAGACCATGTTCGCGTATCCCAGCCTATCGCGACTTTGCGGCCATCCAATGTTATCATGGGAAGGTCATCGGAAGCCACATCTGCGACCGACCGAGGTATGGTCGGCGCCGGCGGCTGAGTAGTCACGGCCGCTGCAGAAGCAGATGCGCGCGCTAGATGAGTAGCTAGCCCACGGCGCAAATCAACTGTTCTCTTTGAATTCTGTTAAAACGAGAGGGAATGAAAATGGACTTCCAACATACGATGTTGCTTGACCAGGTTGGGGCCCTGGTGAGCATGGCCAATTCTCTTGCCCAAAATGCGCAGGACGTCCACATCGCCGTCGATGGTCAGCGTTGAGGCCAGCGCTCCGGGGCGAGACGCGGCCAGATACCAAAAATGCCGAAGTGATCACACGGCCGCAAAAGGAAATGTCATCCCAGTGACCAGTGGCCTCTTTCCTACGCGACTACAACGCGACTACGGCCACAGGGGCGCGCGCTGTCTTGACACCCTCAAGCTACTTCATGGAATCTGGCAATAATGTAACATTTCCAGATTTTGGTTTGGATAAAATATGAATGCCACACTCATTTCAGGCCTAGCCCCGCAAAACGCGCCAAAAAGAAGGTCGAAAAATATGAGGCAAGGGAGCTCTGGGAACCCTCACCCTCGCCTGTGGAAGACTGGGGCTCCGCCGACGGCGTAGACTTCAGTATGGAAATTGTCGGAGAGGAGGTGCGATACGATGGGGAGAGCAGGTGCGTGTTCCGATCTCTTGCCCTAGTGTTGAACCTGAGTAACCTCACAGGTTCGAGGCAAGTATCCGGAACGTGTAAACGGAGTGTTGCTCACTTTCC